CCCCCGTATTACAGAATCAACTCACGAGCAGACGTTTCTCCTCTCCCTGTAGGAAGCTGGAGCAGCGTTTCCACATGTGCGACAGGATGGCCATCTACTTCTTCATCGCCGCCTCCTACTCCCCCTGGTGAGTCACGACAGAAGAGTCAGACAGCAGAGTCCTGAATGAGCTGCGGTCCGGTAAAAAAAACTGAGCGTGACGGTGCTGCTGCGGTTCTCAGGCTGATGCTGAGGGAGCTGGGGCCCTGGGCGTGCCACATGCGCTGGCTGATCTGGGTCATGGCGGGTCTGGGATCCACCTACGTCTTCTTCTTCCATGAGAGGTAGCCGCTGAGTCCCGGGACCTGACCCCCCCTAAAACACACACACACACACACACACACAGCCGTCACACGCCTACGCTGAACACCCGACACAGAAGTTGTGTTTTTCTCTTTCTTCTTTTAGGTACAAGTTGATAGAGTTACTGGGATATGTGTCCATGGGCGCCATCCCTGCTTTGGTCATTTTGTCCATGGTGAGCACAGAAAAACTGTCTGTTTGCTAACTTTCCCAACTTCAATATATATAACTATATGTATGTACGTTTATATATAGATGTATTTATTTATTTATGCAGCCCAGCCCTGAAACAATAAGTTTGAGTAATCAGAGATATCCAGCTAAGCAAACACAGACTGAATTAAATTAAAATTAAAAATCAAACGAACCCAACCCTGATCTGAGCCCGCCTCCTTAGTTAAATGAACCTATCATCAGGCAGCAGCCGGCGACAGCTCCTCACCCCCATCTCCCCTCCGACACCCCACAGGGGGAGCGTGCAGGTGTGTGTGAGCTGGCCCTGGGGGGCGTCTTCTACGCGGTGGGCGTGGCCTTCTTCAAGAGCGACGGCCTGGTCCCGTTCGCCCACGCCATCTGGCACCTGTTCGTGGCCGCCGGGGCGGGCGTTCACTACTACGCCATCTGGAGCCACCTGTACCTGCCCGGCCCGCTGCTGCACACGTCCAGGTAACGGCCGGGCACCACAGAGCCCTTCGGCCGTCAGGTCCACTCCTCTGGTCAGAGCTGAAGGACTTACCACCTCAGTGGCATTTCTTCCCCTCCTCTCTCCATTAAGTCCTTCTAACTTTAATGCAGAATCACTAGTAGAAAAAAGCAAAGTGAGCATTAGCTTGATTTGACACAGCCATGAGAAACAAGTCTAAACTGCCAGTGAGGCTGTGCTCAGAGATAAGAACAATGTGCTAACCAAAAACATCCCTGGCAGGCAGCTAATGGGGACAGGAGCCTGTGACCTCTGTTTTGTTAAAACCAGTAAAGCAGCTGCCTTGCATTTAATGCATAAATGATAAATCATTCCTACATGTCCGTAACCAGGTGCCAAAAACATACCACACACACACACACATTCCTTTAATACTGGTGCTGCAAACTAGCTGATAAGTATGAAAGTAAAACTCCCGGCCGAGGAAGTCCGTTAAGATGCCTATGGAGATAAATTCTGGGGTTTTATGAGTGAGCGTCCGCCGTCGGGTTGAATGAGAGGGCGTGAAACACACGTGTCCTTCTGAGGAAGATAGAAAGGTGTTCCGACAAGGTGAGGGCCTCAGAGAAAGGGACCTACCAGCGACCCTGTCGGGATTTTTACTGTTCTTCAAGTTCAGCTCATGCGATTAACTGTAATGTGGTTTGAAAGATGAAAAGTTCAACCTGATATTGGGAAAGAACTCTGACCGTGAGCGGATCGAATGTCGAGACCTCATGTATTTACGATGTTGGCTGTCTGAACAATGCACTCTAATCCGTGAGCACTTTTTTAAATCAGCAGAACTCATGAATAAGGCTGAATTACATGACTAATGAATATAAAATACATGTAGATTTTAAATATGTAAATCCTGTACTGATCACAGTTGTAAAATTGTTCTAAATCATTCTATTTTTATTTTTTTATAATAAATTGTCTACTTTTGATTTTTAGAAAACGGAGCACTTACTCAGGAAATGACTATTTTTGCAGATTTTTAAAAAAATGAGATGGTATATTTAATTAAATGATTTATGTGTGACATCACCATAATAAAGAAGAGATTTAAGTCGGTGTGAGGTATTTGTATATTTACTGATTTCATTGCACTGAGATTCAACATAATTATTCATTTACAAAAAAATTATGTGCAAATATAAAAAAAAAAATCAAAGTGGTTGAGTTTGTGCCTCCGCTGCCCTGAGGTGAGCGCGGCCTGTGTCACTGCGAGTGTGTGAGGCTGGTGAGGAGCCGGAGCTGCAGCGGCATGCTCAGGTTGCTGTCACCGTGCCACTGCGGGGTGGTGACGTGAGCGGGCGGGGTCAGGACGCTCTGAGCCACGCCGGGGGCCTTCAGCAGCGACCACAGCTCCTCCCCTCTGGTCACTATGGCAGCGAGGTCCTCCTCATCGGCGCACCAGGCCACCGACCCGCCTCTGCTCACCGTCCTCAGCTTGGACAGGAATAGAGACACCCTAAAAACAGACAAAAAAAACAAAACTTTTTGTATTACAGCTGCTTATCGTGAATGAAAGGCCATAAAAAAACAAACCTTGGTATGAGGTCGTGTGATCGTGATGCTAGCTTAGCGAGAGCGCTCATCAGACAGGTGATGACTTTAGGGGCGGGGCACGGGGTTCCGGCCGGCGGCGTGGACGAGGTGATCTCGAACAGCACCGCCTCCAGCGACTCGAAGCAGGACGTGATGAGCCTCACCGAGCAGCGGGGGTGGGACGACGCCGACAGGTGCTCCCCCAGCACCCACACCTGAGAGCACACGGAGAGCCCGGCCGCTCATTTGGCTGTCGCGTGCGTGGGACGGCGGCCTGGCCGCGAGCGGGCCGGCGCGCGGCAGAGATTCCTCACCACGTGGGTGTAGATTTCTTCTCTGCTGTAGACGTTGGCGGTGCTCCCTGCGAACTCCAGCAGCTCGTGAGCCTGCTCCACCACCAGGGAGGGGCGGAGCTTGCACAGCCTCAGCAGGTGGCAGCTGAATACCCTGCAGGAGGGGGGGGGGGGCAATGAGGGGGGAAATTCCCTCACAAAATTAGGTCTACCCATCATTCTTCACAACAAGATGCCCAAATCTGGGTTTGGGTACTGGCGAAAAGGACCAAAACAGACGTAAAGCCTTGTATTTTCCGGGCTTGAGAAGGAACCCTTTGAGGTGTTCGCCTACCTGTGTATCTCCTTGCTGTATGTGGCAATTTTTAGGAGGAGGCTGCTTCTCTCCAGCATCACCAGAATCAACTGGGCCAAAAGTTTCTCGTCCGCCACCTTGAAAATGAGACACGTGTGTGGTTACGTCCTCTTCTGTCGAGCTTTTGCTCATCAGCAGCTCTTTATGACTGGAGCTGATTTGCCTACCCACCCTGATAACCGAGTTGAAATAGATGTGCAACAGGACAGGCACCGTCTGGGCACACCTAACCACTCTGGGCCAGTCGGCAGCCTCGGATAACAGCTCGTGCAGCTTGCTCAGCCGCTCGATTGTGTCACCTAGAAAGAGAGAGTGAGAGAGAGACAGAGAGAGAGAGGCAGGAATTGAGTCATTCTGAGATTCCACAGCGAATCGACTCTCACTCGTTACATTACATGAGAACTGGCTTTTGAGCTGTGGGAAACAAGCTACGGAAATGCAGATGAAGCAGCGATAGCGGCTGCAGATCACATTTTTAGGAGTCTGTAATACAAACAAGCTCTATTCTTAACAGCACACGCGACGGAAAAATCTAGTCATTTTGTTGTGTCTGATCCACATTGATTGTCATTTAATTTCTTTGAAAAAAATCCTTGTGGTCTGAATAAAAACCTCTCCCTATTTAGAAACTCAAGTGTGTCAATAACGAAGAACTTCACAAGGAGGAAAATGTATATATCCATTAGTAAATCTGCGGTGATGGGTTTCTTCAACTACCTGAGCCTGCTTCCCCCCGGAGCAGAAAGAGGAAAAGTCCTCTAAAAGTGGGGTTTCGGAACGCGTCCAGGGACCGAAGGCCTCGGCCGCTGGGCTCAGAGATGGACACGCTGGTAGACCTGCAACGCAAGCACACACAACAGTTTTAAGTGGAAAAAAAATTAACAACGTGTTGGTTGATTTTGGCAGTCTTTTTCTTTTTTGGTTGTAAAACCTGAGCTGCAGAACCAGAGTGGCCGAGAGGCAGGGCAGGTCCAGCAGCGTGTGCAGCAGCTCCACTGCAGTACCAGCGGTCACCAGAGAGGGCAGCAGATCCACGAAGTCGTCCACCACCGCCGGGCTGTCCCACGCTAAAAACTGCGCAAACAGAGAGACCATAGAGACCACCCGTTTCCTGCACAGTCTGCGGACTGAGTGGGTGCAGTCTCCGGACACAGTTGAGAGCGCCCCCCCCCTCTCCGTCTCACCTTTAGGAGGTTAGGGAAGGAGCGCGTGTATTGCGGGGCCCTCTGCCGTACGCTGTCCGCGTGCAGTCGGAGGAAGCGCAGGAGCTCGTGCGCCAGGAAGGGATCGTTGAACAGCTCGGCGGGAAACCGGCCGAGCACCAGCTTCCACACGGCGTCGCAGTCCACTGCTGCCAGCTCCCCTGAGCACATGAACAGTTAGCCCCCTGCTCCGGCCCACAGTCTCTGCTACTGTCCAGGGCTGGGCCGTTTAGATTAAACAAACACCAGGAGGCCTTCAGGATGTTTCTAGGTGTTAGGTCTACATTTAGTCAGCAGAGAACACTCCGTGTCCTCACTAGTCCAAAGCACTGATGTGGTCAAAACAACTAAGAAGCAGAGCTATGTTAAGTTAAGCTGGATGAAAAATTTTGTGAGAAAAAGAAAAGCTCTCTACCATTCCACCCTCTGTAAAAATATTACCTACACCTGAAGAGAGAATTACTTTTAGGTCTGATCGCATGATCAAACCAAAGGTTTCCACTTTGCAACTCCATGACCTTAAAGCCACCATTAAGTCAGTGATCACATAAAATTAGTCTTTTGCAGGAGAAATGGATGAAGAACTAAAAGAGAAGGGTGTCGTTATCCTAACGATGGGGATAATAAAAAATAGCGTAGATTAAACCTTGGAGAAATGTGTTAGACCCACTTCCTGATTCGTACTCACCATGGTTGAGGTAGAACTGCGCTATAGGCACCATAACCCTGGCAAACGACAGCTCAGAGTTGAGCCGGCCAAACAGAGCCTTTATGCAGGGGAACGCTCGGTAGACCAGAGAGGGGTCCTCCACACACACACAGTCCAAGATGTACACCGCCTCCACCAGACACTGTCAGAAAAGGGAAAAGGGAATCACGTGAGGGAAAGCGGGGTCCGCAGGGTTGTTTGAGCCTCCGTTGAGTTCCAAACGAGTTTCTCGAATTTTCAGGCAATGTCTCAGGTTTGTATCTGGTTGAGGGTGAAGTAAATTTTTTTTAAATACACAGGCCCACCGCTTTTTGCAGTTCTGTGTCCATCTTCTTGTGCGCCTCTGCGAGAAAAAGAGATGGATGAGTGGTAAAGTTACTCATAACGAGTTAATTCTAATGACAAATATGGGAGGCTGGTCCTCCTCACACTCACTGCGATCGCACTGTTCTATGAGGCGCTGGCAGTACTGGAAAGCCTTCTCTCTCAGACGCTCCTTTGGGGGCAGCAGGCGGCTGGAGGAAGATGTCGCAGAGACTATGGAAACCACTGACCCGTCCACCTCCGACCGGTCATCTGTGACGTGTGAAGAGTCCAGGACTGAAAATAAGACTCGCCATTCAGCAACTTCCTGTCAAGTCTGCGCACAAATCTCAAAGCAAGTTTTCCAAAAAGTGGTTCTGAAAAGCACAAATCGTCTCATCTCACTTAAGCCTTAAACACTGTACTGTTTAAGGAGTAACGCATGTAGAAAAGACCCCTGGACAAAGACACGGAGTGTAAAAAAGAAGCAAGAGACGGTTAGATGAACTACACTGAGTTCAAATTTTTTTTCTAGTTTTTTTAGTTAAACAGAATACTGAATTAATGCTGAAATATTTTTCTTAAAGCAGCTCCGAAAAGACAATTTGTATCATATGATACAGAGCGGAACTGAATCCACATAAATGAATGTTGAAAACCTTTATTTATCGATGAGGAGTTTCTGACTAGAGTCTAGTGTTTGTTATTTATCACTACTGCAAGTCAGTGAGGAAGGGTTTCAGTCAGCTCTGCATTCAAGGGTCAGATATGCAACATGTTAGTGGCTTGTTTTAAAAGGGATGTGATTATTATGTTTTGAAAAAATTTACATTCAAGAGAAAATATAATCCACTGACAATGGAGGGTTAAAAGTCAAAGACCTGAATTTTCGGTTAGGGAACATTTGTTAGATCAAACGTAGCTGTGAGTTGGAATCACCATGTAAAGGGTTGTGAGTTGAATTGTGGTGTCCTCAGCTTAAAGAGGAGAGACAGGAGTTGAGTTTCTTTACTGATCTTAAGATGTAGGGGCATGCAGAACGTGGAAGCTCCACAAACTTTGGTGTCTTACCATTGGAAAATGAGTGGGAGAGGCTGAGCTGTAGCCTGTTTGCTGGATATGATGAAAACAAAGAGCAGGTCATCTAAGATGGGTGATAGCCCCTTTGGTTCCTAACATGAGGCGGTAGTTCATCAACATCACCATTAATAGTTATTTTATAGTTGATTTTTTTTTTATTATTTCTGAGAATTTGAGCAGTATGACTTCAGCTGTGTGGCCTTAAAATGAGACGACAAATTCCTCAGGCTGGGAAGGTGTGCGGCGGTGGTCAGCTGTGCGTTCATACCAGCGTCCATGTTAGCACTGTCGCCAGACACAGAGTGGTAGGTGAGAAGCCAGTGGCGCAGCATGGGAAAGGAGTAGACATTCATCCACTGGTCCTCTGTGAAGCCCTGCCCCACGCAGAGCACTGTGAAGAAGTCCCCCGACACCGTCCCGTCCAGCTCTGCGATTGGCACCGGCTGCTTCAATGAGAACAAAGCACAGCCATGTAGCAAAGCTTGGCAGGAAACAAAGAGGAGAGAAACCCCCAAAATACTATCATCTGTGTTTTCTCAACAAAACAGTACACTTTATAAAAATGTATTTATATGAACAGACTGGTTACCTGACGGGATCTGGACCCTGTGAAGAATCCCCCCGAAGAGGCTCCGCCTCCCTGCACAATGCTAGCATAGCGCAGCCAGTCAACAAGCTTTTTGCTCAGGAGGGTCACATGGTCTGTTGATGGAGAGAAAGGTCGGGGTGAAAACTACTCATAATGGCCAAAAAAATTTCAGCCTTTTTGATTTGCCTGAGACATTTCTCAGTAAGCTGTCCATTACCCTCTGTGAGGCAGTCTGGACTGTGTGAGAGGATGGCATTGAGGACTGGAAGGATATGCATGAGCCCGTGACATGGCCGGCTCTCCAGACTGCGAATTAGCTGAGCGCAGAGGTTCGACAGATCAGCCTTTGTCCCGGCCTTTTTAGGGGTCAAAGGGAAAAAAAAAAAGAAAGAAAGAGATTAACAACCAAGAAAAAAGAAACTCCCCCAGCTGTGGATATGTAGCCACACTGTGTCTTCATCTGTTGACTCTGGCACCTGCGAGAGCAGCAGGGAGGCAGAGTGGGTGTTCAGCACGCCAACGTTGTCCGGGTTGTAGTTCAGCTCCTGAGCAGAGAGGGGCACTGTTTCTCTGAGCACTGCAGAGCTCAGGACCTGAAGCTGCTCTGAAGGCGATGAGAGAAGTGGCACCAGCCTCTGCTGAAGCTCTGAAGGCAGCCTTTAGTTTAGGAAAATAAGAGGACACAGAACAGGGTAAGCACAAACAGCCCATACAAAAAGACTGTGGGAAACAGACTAGATTCTCTCCACAACATAGAGTAGCATAAAACACCATGATCCACACAATGCAAATCTCTTCTGATTAACAATGCTGACAAAACTTTCAACCCTATAAGATGTGAATAGTGCTTACTTTCTGGAGTACTTGTTGGCAGCAAGAATGAGATGCAGCCTCCCCAGAGAGTCTATGGCTTCATGAAGGGGCTCCTTCACTTGGAGGAGCTTACAGAGTCTGCTGTAAAACTTCTGCAGCTCAGGCTCTTGAATCTCTCTGGAAATCACACAGATGAATTAAGAGTTCGTATTTAATTCTTCTTTTTCTATTTGTGAAAATATTTTGCCACCTACACATGCACACATTTTCCTCTTAAAGTTAATTAAACCTCTTGAATAAAGCAAAATCAATCCTTTTTGTTATTTTCTTTTTCTGCAACACTGCACTTTTGCACCAAGCTTAAATTTGGACCTCAAATGAGTGAAAAAAGGAGACACGAACAGAGTCATCCCGTTGAAAGATCAATGAACATAAACTGACATCCCATACTGTCAAAGGAGTGAACAGTAATGTTTAGGCTCAAAGTTGACCAGTGCCTGAAAAGTCTATTTTTGCCATACAGCATTTTGATAATGTATATTTATGAACCCCAGTACAGTAACTCGATATGGAATTAACTGAACCTAACCATGTCCGTTTAGCGACAAAAAACATTGACAGGTAAGCTAGCTTTAGCTTGGTAAACTCAGCAGAATAAATGACAGCAAATAAGAGAATATGTCAAATAAAAAGGGCGGAAAGAAGTTATTATTTAGTTCTTCCTTACCTCGCTTGTTTAATTAGACTTTCTGAACCGTGAGAATACATTTTGAGAGAAATATCAGGTAACGCTGTGCTACTTCCGGCTACAGCGGAAGGTAAACAGTGCAGTTGCTAACCCAGTCCTGAGTTTACTCATCACATGACTTTAGTTCCGCTTTCAGTGACATACGCTATGAAGGGACATGTTTGACTGGGAACTGACTTAACACTAGTCAGTGTTACTCCTTTAACACAATTCACACTTTTGATAAAGGAACTGGTCTTGTTTCCATTCAAGAGTGTTTAAAGCTGTCAAAAAAAGAAAAAAAGACATGACTAAACCTGTAGGTGTAAAGTTAGAGGCTACCAGTGTTCTTCTCAGATCTGTTTGACATCCTCTTGAAGCCTTAGATTAGTATAAGTTTGTTATTTCCCTTTCCAAATGGCTAAGCCTTTTCCCATGGCACTGTGTTATTTTTTATCATGACCTCTACCGTCTTCCATCCTAATTTAACTAATGAAACAATGCACTCTCTTGATTTTGGCCCTCCTGATCCTTTGCATATGGGTTCACGATATCACAGTGGTCAGTAAAGGTAAGTTTCCTAGTTCATCACTATCATTAAAAAAAGTCTTCTTCAACAAGGCACAAAAATCAAGTGCATGACTGTAGATTTGCAGGGTTCACATAGACCTTTGCTTGAAGGGGGAGCAAGCCAAAAAACAACAACATATCCAAATTCTGCTATGCTATTCTGAGTTTAAAGCTCAAACCGATGTGTCAAAGTATGGTCGTGTTTGTTGTTTGCCAAAGAAACCTTAAAACTGAAGATGGCTTCTTCCCTATTTCTCTTTTCACTTTCAGAGAAACTTGATTCCTGACTACAGACACATAATACAGTTTTTACACAAAACTTACTTTGGACTATGTTTTCTGGACTGCACATATGCACATGAGTAATTATTTAGATAAATGCTGTTGTGCAGTGAGCTACATAGCCTAGTTTAATATTCCACATTGCATACATGGGTAACTTACAGAAGAGTTTTAAAGAGAACAAAAAAAAACTGACAAAAAATTTAAGTAAAGTCAATGTAAAGTTGCATACAGCTGGAAATAATTTCAAATGAAGTCATTTAATTCATTTAAAAAGAAGAAGATTCATCTCAGTTATCTGAAAATCAGGATGAATGAAAAATAGCCAAAAATAGTGTAAGGTTCTTATTCCTCTCATAGAGGGAATCATTTAGTCCTCATCAGTGTAAACTAGAATCTTTACCGGAGCTATTTTTTATCAGATTACCTGTGGACTATTGCCCTCATGGAAACAATCAGATGCCCTTTAACCCCTTGTATAGTGTTCACTTTGGTACCCTCTGGTATCCCTCAGGTCAAATTGACCCGGAACATTTTTAGGCACTCAAGACATGGCTGTGTTAATCATGCTTATCTTTGAAAAAAATACAGTGTCCCTAGTCCCCTTGCATAGCTCATCAAGGAAAACCCTTTTTTGGAGCTTCATCTGGTTGCAGTCTGGGTTAATTGTGATCCACATTTGTAAACGTATCAAAGGCTGAGACATCCAGTATGTTGTAAAAGAGCACCAGAGGCCACATTAGCTTTTATCTGCCACAGCTGGAGCAATCCAGACGCTTCTGAGGGTTGTCTACCCCTCTTGTCCTGGCATTGTAGTCCTCTGGCTTATGGTCCTCCCTGGTACATATTGCTCCAGCCCTGTGTAGAAATATATTTATTTATGTATGTATTCATGCATTTATTTATGTATTTCAGTTTGAGGGAGATAAATGTATGCATATACAATTTTTCTTGAAAATTTGAAACGGGTCAATTTGACCCGAATACCAAAACAGGGTTAAAGGTAGCTAAACTCTGTTGGTATCACAAAGCTATACGGGGGGAAACGACTGAATGCACATCTGGTTTAAGATGAGTTTACAGACGACAGTGCTTTTTTCTTTCTTTTCTTTTTTTTCTTCTTCTTTGGCAGCCGCGTTTGTCTCTTATCTGGTGCTCTGTCGGACACAATAGAGGTAGGTCACACAGACTCGCAGGCAGCCTTCCTGGCTTCTCAGCAGTGAGCCTGTTATTTCCATGAGCGCTCGCACCGCCCGCCTCCGGCCCGCGCCTGCCTATCAGTGCAGCCGTGCTCTGCGCGCTCTGTGCGCCAGCCTCCAGCCACACGCACAGCCGGGGCCACAGCTCCCATGCGCGCCCCACGCGCACCACAAACCTGCCCGTTCTCTTTGTTTACTTATGCCTCTGGATCAATGGAGACAACCTGAGCCGGTGGGATATTCTTGCGGAGTAACAGGTCCCGTTTCCTTCAAGGACCAGAAAAAAAGAAAGGGAACAAAAAAGGAGGAAACAACTTTATTTTTTATTTTTCCTCTTTTGAAAATACTTCAATCATTAACTACTAGACTTCCACCGGGACTCGGCGCCATCTCAGGTGAGTTCCACCTGTCCGTATAGCCCGCGTGCCGGCCGCTCCGGGAGGTCGCGCGCGCAGGGCGCCGCGTTCGACGCGCCGCGGATCGAGTCGGAAAAACAACTCTCGCAGTGGCTGTCACGCCTCGTAACAGCCACGCAAAAACCCGCGCGATGTGTGTCATCAGAGGCAGGTAAAACCCTGCGTGTGCGTGAGGGGGACGCTGGCTTTAGAGGAGCTCCCCTCACCTCCCTCTGCACAAGCTGCAAAGCATCAGAAAACACCTGTAAATCTGGATTTCGTCGGGTGGCCTGTCCGCCCTTTTTTTTCTTCTTTTTTATGCTTGTGGTTGCCAGAAGTGACATTCTCTTGGCTGAAAAGGAGGGAACGTTTCTCATTTTGGGAACAGAGTGGCTGTCATCGCCGAGCCTTTATCTGCCTTTATCAGAGATGTTTGGAATTCCGGCAGCAGGTGCACGGCACAATGGGATCCTGTGAGAGTGAGAAACCAGAGAGAGGCAGGGAAACACCAAGGTCACACTCTCATAAGTTTTCGTTTTGCCGGAGCTCTTGGCTGGTATGTGCGCAGTAGAGATTGCACAGAGGGAGACCATCCGTGAAATAACTGTATGAGTAAGAGTGAGATTCAACATCTAAAAACAACAATGATCAGATGTTGTTCTGTGTGAGTTTGCTGTGCTGTCTCCCATCATAGAGATATCAGGTTCCTACAGGCTCCAGCTACTTCTATCCCAGGACCACATCTGGTTTCTAATCTGAGTTGTTGTTTTTGATCCCAGATAAAGGTGATCACCATGAGCAACAGAATAAGCAACGTTAAATTGCAGGGGAAAAAAGTGCACGCGAAAACAAATCCTCTGTGAATTTAGGTGGATATGAACTGGATCAATGGTCCAATCATCTTAGCCAAGAAAGGGGTTATTGGGCTCAGTTTGTGAGGAAAAGTTTGAATTATTGAACTGAGGCTGAGAAAATAAACCCTAAAAGTTGGAATGGGTATGAGACGATGGCATGAGCTCTGAAATACTAACTTATTAGGAAGATTCAGTTTCAGCAAAGCGAGTAAAACCATATCCTGTGATGGATTGAAAAAAAAAATCATAGCTGACAATAGAATAACACACCTCCAGTTGAGCGAATCATAACAGATGTCATGTGATTTGTTCGCTGGTGTAAAGGGATTAACGGCACGCTGCAGTGTGCTTTGTAGATTTTACAACATGCTGTCCCTCTATCAGAAACGTGTGCATAAGGAGTGTGTAAAAACCAAGATATGAGGTGAGCTGCAACCGGTCAGCACTCGTGCATGTAAAGCGGAGAAGGAAAAATAACAATCACAATACTTTTTTGTAACAAGAATGCAAGTTCTTCTGGTAATTTTTTATTCTTGGCAAAACAGGGATTAGAATAATGTAGAATGATGTAGAGAAATCGATATTTATTAGCTTTGTCGGTTGTGTCATTTTTCGTTTTCTCTACAGAAGGAAAATGTTGGGGGGGGGTCAGGCAGGCTTTTTAAACCCGACTATACGAAAAGAACCATAACTGCCCACCCCGTCACAGCCACTAATGATTAGGCCTTTTGTGTCCACGGCCTAAATTGAGTGTACGTCTGGAGTAACTCCCTGCTATGGTTGATTGGCTGAGATTTGATATGGACTCGAACAAATGCCTGATTCATTCACCTGTTGAGTGTTCTCAGACTCTGTGGTCGCTTTTGCGGGCCATCGAGACAACAAAAACTAGGAAACAGAAGTTGAAAGGCATTGCTAATAAGATTGCATCTTAATCCATCTTCTTGTCTTCAGTGTACTTTCTTCCAGTTGCTCATTTTTGGATCCATCGCTGCTGTTTTGCAGGAACAATGGTCCCCTTTTCCTCTAAGGATTGGTGGTTATTTATCTCTTATACTGGTTGATGGCCAATGTTTCCAGATCACCCAAAACGAAAAGGACATTTTAATCTCGACGAGGACTGGAACCGGGGCTGACGTTTTACTGGAGTTAGGCCCTGGCTTCAGAGTGTGCTCCTATAAATCGTGTGAGCCCTAACTTGTGTTTAGTTTTCATGGTTTTGCATTTCTCGCACATTTTGGCTGAATGTCGTCACCGTTTTCCACGCATTTTACAGCCTTCTTAATGATGTTATTCACAGTGAGTTTAACAGACACACGGGGTCAGATGTAATAACTAGCAAAAATGTAGTTGGATAAGACCGAGTTGTAACCCGGCTTTCATTGCGGGGGTTCACCATCAGAATCGTTCCAAACCAAGCTGCTGAGGAACACCGACTACGAGCGTGTGCAGATTCCACTGTTGACGTAGGATGATAACGATGTCACTTCATACGAGGAACTGGATAATGTTTAAATGTGTGATCAGTCTACACAGGCCGCCGCCTTGTTCCTGCCCACTTTGAAACCTTAATTACAGGTTTCCGTGTCTAGCTGTACCTGTTTGCTGTGTTAAAAGGAAGCCAAACTAGTCAAGTAACCTAAAATAAATTCTTCTGCCCAAACAAAATTGAAAAAAAAAGTTCTTACAGTGAGGGCATGAAAGGGTCAGTGTATAAACTCTAATCGTTCTGCATGGTGAACTGGAAACTGAGGGCATTACGGGTGACTTCCCTAAAGTGAAGAAAAAGTAAAAAAAATAGAGAAAAGTTTCAGCTTTGAGGTGCAGCTCTTCCCCCCTGCAACAGGGAGAGCAGATCTACCAGAGAAACGGAGGCAGGGGGCAGAGGGAGGTGGTAGTGAGAAGTAAAAAGCAGAGCACCGGTCTGTTCAGTGCCTCCTTCCAGACAACACCGGGTCGAGGTGTGTGTGTGTGTGTGTGTGTGTGTGTGCACGCGCCTGCCTTTGAAATTCATTGTTTCGTCCGAGAAAAATCTAAATCCAGGGGACTGGCTTTGAAGTTTTTTGCGTCTGTGCTGTCACCAAAAGCGGTGGCGGACTGAAAGGACTAAATGAGAATAGGGGAAGAGAGCTGCTGCACACATCTGGTTGAAAAGGAGGAAGCAGGGATAAACTTAACCGGTAATGAACTCCGAAATAGGAGAACAGAGAAGAGGAAACTGTGTGCGGTGGCTGTGGGGGTCCGCCCGCTGATACGCTGGGTGTAGTGTGTGTGTCGGCGCCGGCCTGCTGGGGGTATTTGGGCTGGGCATGAATGCATAAAGGATGGGGGGGGGGGGGGGGGGGGGGGGTCATATTACGGCTTCGTCATGTTCATTGACTGTGGCTGTGTATTCGTGTTTGTGTGTGTGAGCAATGCGAGACAATGCAAGGGGTTGGTGGGTGGGTGGGTGGGTGGGTGGGGGTTTTGGGATGGCATGGATGTGAAAGGGCGTGTGTTTACATGAGGAATGGCATCAGATAGCATTCATTTGCCTAACTGTCACAAAGCGGGATTGTGGAGTGACTCCCACTAACCTGACGGCATGCAAATGCCAGACGTCCAGGGGGAGAAACGACGGCGAGAGGAACTGGTGTGGAGGCAAAAGGGGGAAGATGCGGAGCGCGCCGACGTGAGTCTGGAGGAAGAAGAGGAGAAAGGAGATGCCGAACCGAAAACAAGGCTGCTTTAAATGTTTCCTGCCGAGGTGGAAAGCGCGCGGCGCTCGAAATAAGCCAAGTCACGCTCTGGGGGTTTATGTCGGTGCAGTGCTCGTAGCCTCACGGGTCCCTTATCGGCCTCAGGTGTCATATCACTGATGGGAAAACAGGGTCATAAAAGTCAAACATTTACACAGATTTTCGTCATGAAAGTCTCGGGACCGGCAGTGCAGGACATCCAGGTTATCTCAGTCTGAAAGACCCAAACCCAAACCCTCAGTGAGCGCTACAGGCCTCTAGAGCTGGTTGCTCATCTCAGTGAGGACAATCCTGAGTTATGGGCTGTTGTGCAAGTAAGAACAAGTGATGAATGAGCTGAGTCCTTGACGAAATCTGAGTGGAGTTGAGGAGATTGTTAAACTTTAATCCCCTTGTGCAGTGGTGAGTGAGTAGGGTACAGCCACTTGAGCTCAGTTTTTTTGTGATAAACCATCCTGGTTTATAGCCATCTGACTCGCCCTCAGACTTTAACGGGTCGGAAATCAATTGGGAAGCCATCACAGTTTTGTCGCTTGGACCCATGAAAAATGACAACAACATTATGCAAAAGAGAAGGAATTTTATTTTATTTGCGCCATCGTGATGTCGCATTCCCTCTGGCTCTGACAGTATCTCTGGTACGGGAAGATGTCTGAAAGTCAAACTGTTGGATCAGATTTGAAAATCACACCAGTTGTTTTTTTGCTCTTTGTGCCCAAATTTCGAAAACACATCTGTCCACCGCATTCTCACTGTCAATATAAAAACTCAAAACTCCACCCTGATGACTCTAAACAAGACGCCATACCATCGCATCACCTACCGTGTTTATTCACATGGCCCTTAAAAAAAGGCGACATGTCGACATGTGGTCGACCAAAGTGCTGCGCAACAGGTTAAACAACCCGACAGAAATAGAAACACACAAGAGCCCGCAAATAGAAAACATTCAAAAAATGATCACTGAAAACAGAGAGTAATTAAAGTCACTGTGAGTCTCGGGCTGGGCTGAAAGCCGAAATGTGTTGGTGTTTTTGCAAATGAGAACTGTCTGGTGAGCGGAGGAAGCTCATTCGATTTTTGATCTTTCTTTGCAGCAGCATCTGGTCTGCTGGCCTGAGGGGGCTTGCAGCAGGCTGGACAGGCATGATGGCCTGAGGCTGTTGCCAAGCTCAGAAAATAGATAAAGGAACTTCAGATCTTTGCCCAAACAGGATAGGAAATAAAGGAAGCCAGGGCAATGCGGCTAACACCAGAGTGAGGCACGCTCGCTTCTATGTGCCTGTAAAAAAAGGAGACCCCCCCAAAAAAAATTTTTAAAAAACATCTCCAGAATACTTGTGTCTTGCCATGTGATATTTGCAGGGCTGGACTTTAACGTGTTCATTTTGGTGAATTGATATGTTGCAGCTGACCCAATCACGGTAATTCCGCAGCCATTAAAAACATTTTGACGGTTTTTAAAAGAGAATGGGCTTCCCAAACAACGTATATGCGTTATGGAAAACCGATTCCCGCCCCTGCAGTTAGCCAGTGAGGTAATAATAATGAGGCCACTTATTTGTTCACCTCTCACTGTGTCAATTGTTAGATGTCTCACTGGATGTAAATATGGTGGTAGCAATGGCTTGACTTCCTGTCTTCCACAGACGCTGCCCAACATGTTAGAGATCACTTCCCCAACAAGTTAGGGATGTGATCTCTAACTCTCTAAAATGGAGGTCATTTTTATATTTTGCAGATGTAGGCTGAATCAAAGCTTTGTGATATTGGGTTCGACTGACAGATGACTTTACCAAGGGGTAACCTTTTCATCACCGGACAAACATCGTCCAGCTAAATCCTAGATGGGAAATAAATGGAAAGTAGAAAGAATGCAGACTATAAGAGGTGTAGTCACCTGGACTGAGTAACTGGTCCCTCTATCCCGGGGAGTAAAACATTTATTAATTCTCTTCTCTTAAATGGGCACTGGAATGTACTGGAATCAATTGACAAATCAGGGGAATGGGAATTAATGGAGGAAATATTGGCAGATGCTGGGAATCACTCAAAGTCCCTTACAGGTTGTCACTCTGTCAGGGAGGTGGGTGTTGACGGGAGGACTCAGTCGCGGAATGAGGGGAAACAAGGTTTATTGAACAAAAACAGGGTGAATGTCCAGACAAAGTACAAAACAAAGCTGTGGCAAACTGTGGGCAAAGTAACAAAGCAATGAGCAAACAATACTGTGGCAAAAACTATGACTTGACAAAGTAACAAAATAAAGATAAACAAGACTATGACAAAACGTGACTAAGACTGTGGCAGAACTACGACGAAAACAAACCTGGCGTGGGGGTGATGACGGACGAAAGGACAAGAGACAAGGCAAGCAGACAAGAACGACCCCGCACCAGACAAGGGGAAACGAGGACTATTTAAACACATGAGGGAGGGAAACCCCAGGTGTACACAATAGGTAATCAAGACAAGACATTCCCCCAGACGTGACACACTCACTTTGATATCAGATCGTTAATCAGTTTAATTTCAGTTCAAATGAGATTAAGTTAATCAGTTTAAACTCACAGTATGTGTATGTAACAGTACGCGCTTTTCTGAATTCGAAGCATAAAAACCCATTAATCAGGAGGGTTTAACATTTGCGGCGTAAATCAATCTTTGACTGTTTTGCTGTGCACTCCATGAAGCCTGCAGCTGCTCTATGAAGCGTTATTCATCAAAGCATTAACAGCTCACTTTTATAGCTGTTGGGGCTACTTTCACCGGATCACACTGTGGAAGAAAACCCTTAGAAATGACACGATAAGATTTATTTGTCCCTCTTTTCCCTCTCCATTCACAATGCCTACAGCATGATTCAGAGAGTGTGTGCAGATCTCCACTTGTCCACCCGATAAGCCTGACATCTTCCCTTTTTTATGAGAGAGTCAAAGCCACCTTTAAGGGGAGTAAGTAAGTAATAAGTCAAATTGTTGGTTTTTCGCTGCTTCTCAGGGGGTGAGAGATGGAGAACGGGACGTCGGAGGACGTGGATGCCATGTGGGACAAGGTGGAGTGCAAACGCTACGAACTGTGTCGCGCCATCTCCCCCGCAAAGCTCACCCCGTACCTCCGCCAGTGCAAAGTCCTGGACGAGCAGGACGAGGATGAGATTCTGAACTCTCCGGTGCTGGCCTCCAAAGCAAACCGCACGAGTGAGTCCGACTGTGGGAATCTGCCTGTGTTGATTCAAGTCCTCTTTTGTTTTATGCATACACACATGCACACATCAAACTAGCTAGTTACATGTATTAAAGCTCAAGTCATGGAAAGCAGGAGCACTTTATCTTTTGTATTTCTAACTTATGACATGTCAATTCTTTTCTCAAGGCCGTCTTCTAGACATACTGCGGACTAAAGAGGAGCGGGGGTATGTGGCATTTCTGGAGAGTTTGGAGTTTTACTACCCCGAGCTGTACAAGCTGGTCACAGGGAAAGAGCCCACGCGGCGTTTCTCCACCATCGTCGGTGAGCCCCACTTTGTTTTGCACTCTAATTGACGATTTATCGGGCATGGCCTACAGGTCAAGACAGCCTGTAGGCTGACCAACAGTAGTTGGAATGACCAACTACTGTTGGTCATTCCAACAGTAGTTTCAATGTAATTTGGGAGTCAGTGTGAAAAATGAATCACTGAGCTGCAATCATGAAGCTGGGGGGTGTGGCTCTGCTCACTCATCAGTCACAGGCGTGACCCCCCCCCCCCTCTCCTTCCCTGCCCTGCTGGTTCAGGGCAGGAAAAGTGTTCAGGCCAGCTCACAATGCGACATCAGTGCAGAATACGCTCTGTGATTCATCTGTCTTTCCCTGTTTCCTCGCCTCAGTGGAAGAAGGTCACGAGGGTTTGACCCACTTTCTCATGAATGAGGTGATGAAACTGCAGCAGCAGTCCAAAGTCAAGACCCTGCAGCATGTGGAGCTCAGCAAGAAGAACTGCACCCTGGAGGACGAGCACAAAAAGCTGCGTCTGGCCTATCAGGAGCTTCAGGCCTTCCAACAGAGTAAAACCACCAATCATCATTATTACTATTGTTATTGTCCTACACAAAATCCCTGATCAGGACTGAAATATATTGATATATATAAAGTAGTATAACGTCGGACAGTTACTCGATAACTAAAGGCTCGTACCCTTGCACTGGTGCTTGCTTTACCTCGCTGGGTGCACCACATTTTCGTTTACCAAGGATCTCCAGCCGCATTGTCTGCCAAAGGTTGCTTGTGAAAGTAGGACAGTGTGGTCTCATGTCCTGTGCAGTTTATTTCTGCAGCTGATACACGAAGGCTCTTTCACACCTAAACAAAAGCTAAAAATAAGCTGTTTAGACTAGCTCGGTGGAGCCTTCTGTCTCCGATTTTTGCCGTGCACTTCTTTTTATTTTACATGATATGGCTGCCACGAGGAGTACAAAATTGTATCAGTTATGCAGCTACTGAATCCATTAATGTGCGAAAGCATGATTTAGTTTCATCAGTCATTTTTCAGTCCAAGTAGGATGTGTAATATCTAGAGCAAAGCTGCACAAGGAGCCAAAGCCAAAGACATTTTTATGGGAAAGTTTGAAGCGTAGTAGCCGTTTAAAAAAAAACCCACTGACCTCGATCAGTTTTCATAACCCGCTTCTGTGCCTGGACTTCCAGGATACAATAAGTTGAGAGAAGAGAGGAACTCCTACAGCGACGAGCTCCTGCGAGTGAAGGATGAAAACTACAAACTGGCCATGCGGTACGCCAGCCTGAGCGAGGAGAAAAACATGGCGGTGATGCGGAGCCGAGACCTTCAGCTGGAGGTGATCACACGCGAATCCTTCTTATCCAAAAACAAAAAGCCTGACGGGGTGGTTAACGGTGAGCTCTTCGTTGAAGATTGACCAGCTGAAGCACAAGCTGAACAAGGTGGAGGAGGAGTGCAGGATGGAGAGGCGGCAGAGCCTCAAGCTGAAGAACGACATCGAAAATCGACCCAAGCGAGAGCAGATCTTTGAGCTGGAAAGAGAGAATGAAATGCTGAAGATTAAGCTACAGGAGCTACAGTCTATCATACAGGTATGGCCCGACTGGGGTGTGCGTGCACAAGTAAGGGTGGAGTTTCAACTGCTTTTCTTGTTTTTGAGCCACTTTAAATGTTAATGCCATGGGTTGAACATAAATAAACAATTGGAGGATTTCCATGGCATGCTTATAGAGTTTTTGGTCTCATGAACTCCTGGCCAGCTTCACCCCCAATTAGCTACCAAATCTGATTTGTCTTATTGTTTTCTATTGTCAAGCATCCAATTTCAAGAAAGGAAAAAGATTGAATTCACGTCACCACTCCTACTTAACAGCTATTCGTGTTTTTTCCTACATAACTGTTTTTTCTGTGTGTTTTGCACCCAGCCTGGCCCCTTGCCTGAGTCAGACAAGGCCATTCTTGACATTTTGGAGCACGACAGACAGGAAGCTCTGGAAGACAGACAGGATCTGGTCAACCGCCTCTACAACCTACACGAAGAGCTCAGACAGGCGGAGGAACTACGAGATAAGGTCACAACTGAACACACACATTCAACAACGAGCGCACATTGACATCGTGAGGTGAAGAGTGCGGGTGTTGCTTTTTAAATGTGAAGCTGTGAAGACGGTGGAGGGGTGAAAAAACACACAGCCAGAGAGCTCCCTGAGATAAACTTAAAACAGACCCCAGATCAAAGCCTCATCTTAGGCCCCCTGCAGCTTAAAATGGTCTAACTCTGAGTTTGTATTCCATGTATCTGCTAGTTTTGTTTGCAAGTAAACCTAAATAACAGCAGTGCTGCTGTGTGTGTGTGTGTGTGTTTAGTACTTGGAGGAGAAGGAAGACCTTGAGCTGAAGAGCTCCACGCTTCAGAAAGACTGTGAGATGTATCGCAATCGCATTGACACCATAACTTCACAGCTCGAGGAGGTGGAGAAGGAGCGGGACCAGGTGAGGGCATATAAAGGCTTATAGATTCCTTTCATTTGGCCCCGTGTCAACATTTTGGACTCCCTCCTCTCTCCCGCTGCCGCAGGCGTTCCGAGCCAGAGACGACGCCCAGCACCAGTTCTCGCAGTGTCTCATCGACAAAGACAAATATCGCAAGCAGATCAGAGAGCTGGAGGAGAAGAGCGACGAGCTCCACATTGAGATCGTTCGCAAAGAAGCCAAGGTGGTCACGCTCAACGGCCGCCTAAGACGGATGTCCAAGGACACACCCTTGGACCAGGTCAGGCAGAGTGCAGCAACCGAATTGTTTTCATGGTTACTGTTTGGGATAAGCTGTCGTTAGGGAACCTGACTACTACAATATGAATATGACTTGTGTTATAGGAATAAAATGAAGCACTTCTGGTTGGCTGGTTTGTAAAACATACACAAAAGCACAACTTGTGGATGGAATGCAGCCCTCCGCAGACACCACATTGTTCAAAATGCCATGGTGATATTGATGTTAGACCTTTTTATATTGACAAAGCAATATGACCCTATACTGCCAAAGCTGGATAAAATCAAACACCTAGGCTTCCTGCGTGGTGCTGTGATAGGATGGTACCAGTTCAACAAGTTCATTTCCCTGTTCCTGAACATTCCACAGGTTTGGCTGCTACCAATACCAAATTTAATACCAAGTTTAAAGTTCGGTGGAGGGAGGATTATGGTGTGGGGTTGCTTTTCAGGACCCTCATTTCTAGCTGCATTATTCCATGCATGTAGAAATGAGGGGAACAGTTTGAAGGTGGCCCCTTCCTCTTCCAACATGACTGTGTACCAGTGCACTTGATTGAAGAACTTGATTGGCCTGCACAGAGTCATGGCAGAAAAAACCTTTTGGATTGATTATAGCTGAGACCGAGAGCCAGGCCGTCCCGTTCAACATCAGTGTATGACCTTACAAATGGTACTGAAATTCCAATAAAAACGCCCCAAAACCTTGTGGATAGCCTACCCAAAAGAGATGAGGCTGTTTTATAGAAGCAAAGTGTGGATCAACGTCATGCTGAACTCTTAAATTAATCATGGAATATCACTTCTGTTCATATGCGAGTTAAGGCAGGTGAGCAGCAATCTGCTTTCGGCAGTATAGTGCAATTACATTCTTATGCAGTCTATCAATCTTGTTGCTGCACGACCAGTCATCTTTGCCAGGACAATTTGTCATAGATTATATATATTTAGAAAATACAAAGACTTGAGTGAAAAAGATAAGGGTTTCCAAAGTAGTTGGCAAATATCAATTTTTTTGTTTGTTTGAAGAAAGGATGCTCAGTTTGAACGCAATGTGTAATTTGGTGAGAATGCTAAGAATAAGATAGCTGGTAGTTTAAGTCATTTCAGAGAGGAGAAGAATGTTGGCATGAAGTGTGCTGCTGTGTTGCTGCATATTCTGACTGCCAGGATGTGTGAACAATGATGTGGGATCACCACAAAGGGGGTTATAACCATACATTTACCAGATTTCACACACACACACATGCACACAGTATCTGTTTTTTATCTGTTAGGTGCACACCACACATGGCAGCACTTTGCAAAATATCCCACCAGCATGCCACACTTGCACTCTTGCATATTAAACAAAAAAGTGCCCAAGCACAACTATTCAGTGTTTTGGTCTGAAAGGAAAAACACAAGAGTATTCTCTTCTTTTGATATCATTTCAACCCTTTGCCGCTGATTTAACTGAGCGTTCCTCATTATGAAAATTCTATCTTGCAGAGCTTACCGCGGGACCTTCCTCCAACCATTATCTCTCAGATGGAGGATCTGAAACCAGTCCCGAGCCAGTCAGAATGGTCCAGTGATGAGTCACACGAGGAGAAACCTCGGCTCACTCGCAGGCCTAACCTTAAAGCCATGGTCAGCCCTCCTGCTATTCATGACTATTTGTGAAGCTGCACTTCCTGCAGGTTTCAGGCTTATAGTGATAAATTGATACACTGTAACTATTTACAACGTGTAAATGAAGTGAAAATATGTTTTAAAGGGCTGAAACAAATTAATAATTGACATGTCTTCTAGAAGGATTTATTTTTATATTTTTGTTACAGTAATTGTTCATAAATGTGGGCTTTCAACAGAATATAACTAAAAGGCTTCCATATGTTGTCATTTAGAGACCCAAGTCTCCTGTTTGCATGCCGAGAGACTCTCAGAATCACCGTCCTGGTAAGCTGGTCTTGTACTTCACTCCCAGAGTGCATTAGACATACCCATTGTGTGGCTAAATCTTTTATATGCGTCTACCTTTCACCTACAGTTAACGGAGAGTTCCTGGATATTCAGCAGGCGAACCACCACGGCGGCAGCCATTCCCTCCCCCAGTCGCCCAGCTTCACTGTTTCCCCCACGTATCCTCCGTCTTCAGCCCCCCCCCTCTCCTCCTCCCCAACTCCCTCATTCCCCAATCTGGAAACAACAAGACCAAACTTGGTGAGATTTTGATTTACAGCTTTTGTCTAGTTCTCATGAAAATCTCGATTTAGTTGGAATTGCGTACGTCTGTGTAACTGTTGTTGTAACAGTGTCCGTGAGGGTTGTGTGATACAGGGCTAGAGAAAACAGAAAACCAAAGAACCAGAAACGGACTTAGGTTTATTCAGAAAAGCAGAGATCGCAGCAATGCCAGATACAGAACGTTAAATCAAAATGGACGAACAAAACCAAAACCCTTTAAAATGTAACAGAAACACGAAGACCGTAGAAAACCTGAGAAAGGAACGAGTATGAAGGGTCTCAAGGAGGAGGAAAAGCGACTGCATCCGCCGGCAAGGACCGGACACAGGGCAGTGATTAGTGAACGGGGAGCAGTGGAGACGGGAAGCCTGAGTGAAAGGGGTGGAGCTCACCACCGGGATGGAAAACTACCGATTAGGAAAGAAAAGTGAAAGTGAGTGGGCACAGAAAGGGCAAAAAAAAGGAACACAGAAGAACTCAAGAAAGTAACAAAGCAAAAGATGCAAAAGAACCGAAATGTCATTGAAAATCAAACAGGGAGGGAGCAGACTAACAAAGAAACTAAAAAAGGCACACTGGAGATGACAGGGAATATCCAAATCAACAAAACCAAAAGGAAATCTCAAACCTGAAAGAAAGCCCCCCACTTATGATAAGTTGATTGACTACATAAAAGAAGCCCGGCTGGCCTGACCTACTGTGACAGCTTCTTCTACTCTCATTGGTTAAATCTTCAGGCGCGCCTCCGGAATGACAGCATCCTGTCCATCCTGGCGGAGCCCCCAGAGAAGGCCTCACTGTACCGAAGAGAAAAGGAGACAGACCGCGTCTTTCAGATCCGCACGTAAGAAACACAGGACGTGTAGATAGCCTGCACACCAAATGTAATCTTTTACACCAAGTTCCCCTGTTTTCACCTCAGTTCCACATTGAGCTCTGACACTTTTCTTTTTCAGGCCCTTGGACTTTGAAAGTGACACCATGGAAATAGAGGGTGGTAATGCACTTTTGCATAATTATCAGAAATAACTTCTTTTTTTTATGTTTGGCATCCAAATCTAAACATACCTTCTTTTATTTTCTCTCTCTCCTTACTGTTCCCTCCTCCAGAGGACGGTCCAAACTCTGTGATCTCGTCGTCGTCCTCCCATCAGTCGGAGGGGATGGACACCTACGATCTGGAGCATGTGAACAGCATCTTCAGAAAGCTCTCCTTGGAGAGGTACGGTGAAGCCTCTCACACTTCAGCCGGCGTTCAGCTTTCCTGGCCCACACACACACCGGTAAACCCTCCGTCTGGTGTTTGTGCGCAGGCCCTTCCGCCTGTCGGTGTCCTCCCTGGCCAGGATGGGCTCGTCTGTGAAGCCCGTGCAGGAGCTGTCGGTGCAGGGAGACAACCTGCTGAAGGACATCACCCTGGTCGGGGGCAACGACAGCGGGATCTTCATCTCGTCGGTTCAGTCGGGGTCCAACGCCGAGAGGGCGGGCTTGCGAGAGGGCCACCACCTTCTGCTGGTAAGGGTTCGGAACACTGTGTGGAACCAGCGCTGGTACAAGAAGATGAACGTTCAGCAAATGTACCTCATTTTTATCCCAGTAATGATGGATTTCTTGACAGTTATCTTGCGAAAACAAAAAAAGGGGGTTTTCAAATAATGTGTTTTGTTCTCTGATTGGCCAATCAGCTTGAGGGGTGCGTACGAGGGGAAAACCAAAGCATCTCCCTGGATACCAGTACTCAAGAAGAAGCACACTGGACGTTGCAGCACTGCTCTGGACCCATCAAGCTGCACTACAGAGCCAGTTTCGACTGTAAGTTCTGGTTTTATTGGCCTTCAATGGGCATAAGTAGGGACCAACTAGAATTCCAAAGCTCTTCCAAAGCTCTCGTTTTGCACCGCCTGTGTAATCTGCCTGTAGTTTGAATAGAATTCAGTTGCCTCCTTTGCTCTCCAGTGTATCATCGCTTCCAGAGCAATCTAACGGATGGCAAGCTAGCGTCCGGCGACTCCTTCCACATACGGGTCAACCTCAACATCTCCGGCCAGTCGGACAGCTGCTCCCTGAGCCTGCTCTGCGACGAGGTGGTGCACGTGCTGGACACCAGGCACCAGGGCCACTGCGAGTGGATGTGTGCCCGCGTGGACCCTTACACCGGCTCCGACCTGGCCGAGCGGGGCACCATCCCCAGCTACTCACGGTACGGGGGCGCCCTTCCCCTCAAACCGCTGACTCAGCGTGTGTGAGAGCTCACAGAGGCCTTTTCTCTGGATGAATGATCAGTATAAGGAACCTAGAGCAAAACGAGCTTTACGTGGTGTTTCTTTTTTTCAGAGATTGTTTGGCGATCTTGACTTTTGGAAATTTATGAGGGTGTGCGTGTGTTTGTGCATATTTGTGAATATAGCGCACAGCAGTTGCTTCTGGTGAAGATTCAGAAGCTACTATGTCGAGGGGGGAGAGAAGACAATGAAAGCCACCGTAACAGCAAGGTGAGAGAACAGCTGAGCCGCTTTTATTTTTACCAGCTGTAGGGCTCAAAATAGAATTATTAACTTGAATTTTGATATGACTATAGTGTCAATAAAACTTTCACCACTTTGAAAAATATTTTTTTCAAAGCCTGTCTTTATACCACTGCAGCATATACCAGAAACACTGTGTGCTCTCTAACAGTATTTTGGATCTCACTCATGGTTTACCGCTCCTATCTGTCCAGAACAACCTACAGCCGGAGGAGTCCAGCTCCTCTCCTGACCCCAGAGCAAGCCCACGCTTGTCCAGAGCCAGCATCTTCCTCACTCAGATACTGCAGGTAACAAAAAAAAAAAAAACACAGCTAGACAATCCTCCATATGATGGACGCCACCAGTGATGTGACGCATGTCTGGTCTTTTTTTTTTGGTCTTTTTTTCTATTTCAAGTTCGTCAGCAGGGTGGACATCAAGTACAAGCGCATGAACAGCAGCGAGCGCGTGAGGATCATCAACTCTGGCAGCACAACACTACCCAGACAAAGCTTTGAGGCGCTTAGACCTGAAGGTGAGAGGCGAGAGCTGAAAAAACCACGTGCAAAATGTGTATGCAACCAAGTAGGAAAAATCATGAACTGAACCAGGTTGAAGTATAAGATTATGCACAAAAGCTACTGAAACTGACACATGATGTCATCCGAACTGTGAGCATTTTTTAAAAATTGTCCAAAAATAAAGACCAGGAGGGGACTGGGGTGTTAGTGCAGTCAGTGGTGTTGCAGAAAGGTATTGCAGGACTAACATAGAAGAAGGTAAAAAAAAAACCCTCCAAACAAACAAAAGAAAACAACTTTTTTTTTTTATCCCTGAACTGTGCACAGTCAAACAGCAGATCTAGATTTTCATGACAAGTGAGGGCAGGTGAGATCTCTGAAGTTTGCAGAGCACCACTTTGAACAAACACAAAGGGGGTGTGCAGCAGAACATGAAACTAAAACTGTGAGAGCAGAGACACAGCGAGAGGGAACACAAACCACACTTCAACTTCAAGTGACATGAATGAACATGAATTGTAAAGTTAAAGAGATTTAGAATTTGAACATTCAGATCAATTACTTAAAACAACAAAAGAAAAGTAACAGACTTTTGAAAGTGCAGTGTAAGTGTAACACAGCTTAATATAAATAAATCAGACTAAAAATATGATGGAGTCTGATTTGAAATTATTTTTAACCTTAAAGTATCCACTTTATTTCAAGATTGTCAAAAGAAGTATGAAGAATTTGTGAAGAAATAGTATCGCAAATGTCCTTCTCAGTCATTGAGAGCAGATTTAGAGATCGTGTGATCACTGAAGCAAAACTAAATGCATCAGTTGATACATAGTTATACTTTTAAAGGGGGAATTTCAGCTGTTTTAATTTTAGTCTTTTCTAATAATTCATTGTTTTGCCTCTCTTAAACTCACATCTGCTGAGGAGTTTCATTGAAAAGAAAAAGCAGATGATGGGAAAATCTGGTTGAGAGCTCTCTAAGATGGAAAAGGAAAAAGAGAGCTCTGTGCAATTTGTAACAAAGCAAAGGCGAATAGAATGATGGGGTCATAGAGGAATACAGTACAGATATATTTCCAAAACTAGCTATCTAATTTCTTTGCAAAATTGTACAAAATACAGAGCCAGTACGCTGCTCCTCAAGTTCTGCAGATTGGACCTGCTCGTGTTTCTTAAAATGGGTGTGTAATTGCGTCCCTCTCATTGTGCCTGTGCCGTGTGTGTAAACAGACGCTGCTGATCCGGACAATGAGCTGAGCAGGGGTCTGAACCTGATTCCTTACAGTTCGGTCCTCCCTCAGCGGACCCCGAGACGGCGACCGGTCCTATTCACTCCGGCTGCTCTGGCCAAAACCATTATCCAGAAAATCCTGAACATGGGAGCGGCCATGGACTTTGATATTTGCAAACCAGGTAGGTGTGCCCGGGCAAAACACAAGCTTAAATCAATTGGGAAAGTTTTACGTTAGAAATGTCCTTCCTTGTTTGGTTCGATCTGATTGTGCTCAGCCATTGTGAATCAGCCATAGAGGACATGGATAGCAGGAGATTAAGGGGCCGAGGGTGAGAGAAAATGAAGCCACCGTTGGGATTTGGGTCAGGTATTGTGCGGCCCTGTTGTTTAAACATGGACGAGTGTAACTGAAGAGACAGTGAAGGCACCATGGGAGATGGCCTGTATGAGAAAATGACAATGACAGATATTTTAGATACCATGAATATGTTTAAAAAGCTGTTGACTCAGTGTGGTGCGAAAGGATTTGACTATCGTGTCCTTAGAGAATCATCACCCGTAGCAAGTCATCTGTTCCGGGTACAGAAGTGATGTAAAGAGCTGAACATCTGGCAAGGTCTACAATCTGTACGACAGGCTTTGTCATGAGAATCTGTAGAATGAGAGTCCCCAGGGCAAAAGCCCCAAGTTTCAGTTCCTAGTGGGGATTGGCTTGGATTGGTAATAGTTACTAAATGACTGCAATTTAATTGACCTTTTTAATCATAATCTACCTTTTTCGCCCCTAACTTTCATTTTCATGCTGTGCAGATACTCTGTCCAAAGAGGAGTTTCATCTGAAACAGAATGTGGAACCCTTCATTCACTACAAAGAGAAACAGGCCACGTTTGAATGCATCACCCGGGAAAACATTGAGGCTGTCGCAGCCAAAGTAGGTTTTTACCATCAAATGTGTGTGTGTGTGTGTGTCCTCTTTTGGTTCTTACCACAAACAAAAAAGTATTTTAGCAGGCTTGCATAAAAAAACAAATTTAAAAAAGCACATTTTCTTCCAAACCTTGTGGACCACCAGAACTTTAAGCAAAAAGCTGAGAGCTTTAAAAGTCAATGCATCTCTCTTTAGAGCCATCGGTGGGTTATTGGTTCACCATTCTAAGTTAAATGAAAATGTTCATTTCTGCCCCACAAACTGTCATAGATGACTGAAGCGTGAAGGTTTACATATTGGTGCTTTAATTACTAAAACTTAAAAGACTGAATTCTAACCTCACTTTGAGGGACCACCACCTACACATCCTGTACCACCTTGTTTTTTGGCTGCTTTAGGGGGTCTGTATACCGGGACATGTCCCTTTTTTGCCTCTTTTGCATGAACCTCTCGCACATTAAACTGCATTGTTTTTTTAAATTATCTTATTTGAATGTAGGCCTGAATAAAGAGGAGTGAATTGGGTTGAACTGGATGACAAAGATTTGGATTGCATTCAACCAATTATTTGTTTTGAATGTCTTGACTTTTCCTACCTTGATCTTAGTGCTCTGACATACCTTGCTTTTGTCTTCCTTCCATCTGTGACTTCACTAAAGTAATTTCCGAACAGACACCACAAACGTTATCAGATCAGTTTTTTTATGTTTTTAGTGCAGGAGGGGAGATCATATCTCAGTAGCTGTTTTGTATAATGGAATAAAACCCTTTTAGGATGTACTCCGTCGCTGGGTGGTGTGGTGGGTAGCGCCATCACCACACAGCAAGAAGGTTCCTGGTTCAGGGGCGTTTCTTTTAAAGGTTTTTGTAGGCTCTGGTGACCATCATTTGAAGGCACAACAGGAAAGGGGGAAGAGAGACGTCCCGGAAAGTGTCAGGAGCATAGAGCCTCCATACATAGGCTGCCTACTCAACCCACAGAACCAAATGACAGCCCACGGGGGCCGTTCCCTGTGGATTTTGCATGTTCCACCTATGTAATCTGGTTTATCTCCCGCCGCCCTAAAGAACATGTGTAAACGATGGCAATAAATAATTGAATTTTAGTTGTTTGCCTCAGTGTGGCCCTGCGATGGACTGGCGACCGAGTCATGTGCCCAATGAGAGTTGACTATTTGGCCAAATGACTCGCTGAACTCACTTCTAGTCGTCTAAACTGTTTGATGAGCTTCATTCAAGATCAAAGCCTTTTCACATACAGAGAGTCAGGTCCTGCAGACATCTAGAAAAAACAGGTTGTATTCATTAATTGATTTTTATTCCATCTGTCATCAGGGAAAACACTGCCTGCTGGAGGCTGAGCTCAGCTGCGTCAAGGACCTTCTACGGAGAGAAATCTACCCTATCATCATTCATGTCAAGATCTGTGACAAGAATGTAAAGAAGTTGAGGTAGGCCTGATGATCTCACACACTTCCTGATTACTGAAATAGTACAACATGACAATTGCGTCCCCTCTTCAGGTGGTTCTGGTCTTATACTAAGCTTTAATTTTAGATGTGGGTGCCAGCTAACTCCGAGGCTTGATATGTATTAGGGTAGATTTGGCCTTTGAATAATCATTCAGCACACTGAACCCTGATGTTTCTGAGAATCACAAGGCTGTAGGCAGGGTATCGTTGCAGAGTGTCTACACAGGATCTTATCAGACGCAATGGGTTCCAAACGTTACCACAGTCACCACGTTGCTTCCTTCCTGTTTCCTGTCCACACAGGAAGTCGCCCCTGCGCGTGGAATCGGAAGAAGACTTTGTGAAGATATGTCGGGCGAAAGAGAAGGAGCTGGAGGGCATTCCCTGCCTCTATGCCACAGTAGAGCCCGAAGCCTGGACAGGGATAGACGAAATGATCAAGGTCATCAAAGACCGGATACAGGAGGAGCAGAAGAAGATAATCTGGGTTGAACAGGACCTCCTGTAGACATAGACTGTTACACCATCATCTGCACACGTGTAGCTACACGCCGTTTAACACAAACCTTGTACTAAAGATACCTGTCTTTAATATTTATGCTCAGACAGAAAATGCATGTATGGCTACAAAACAAAAGACCTAAATAAACAGATTTTTGTAAATGTGTGTTTCTGATTGAAACAATCAACCTAGGTATGGAAAACATGCACAAATATGCTTTCATGTTTTTTATAATTAAACCTAAGGTGATTCAGCCCTTTCATGTTTGAGATGTATCTTCAGTTCATCTCAGGAAAGTAACTGAGATCATACTTCCATCTAGTGGCGAATGTGAAATTTTACAATGTACAAATCATACTTTTTTATTTATCAATAAGACTAAAGTGCCAAAAAGAATATCCTAAATCTAAAATTATTCCTCAAAATATAGAGGAAGAGACCTTCCTCACCCGATCTGGTCCTCATTTTTAGAAATTATTAACCTTCAACACAGTATCAGGGGCTGTATTCAAATATTAGCATGCTGACACTAGTCCATATACCTAAAAGCAAAGGGAGTTTAAGGGGCTGACAAGATCTTTCCATAATGTGACATTTTTTAGGCATTGTTTCTACTTTACTCATATTAAATGGCATGCTCATGTCTGTACCTTGTGGAACTTGCACTAAAATAGATCATTTCCAAGATACTGCATTTCCTGATAAATATCAGACATCTTGTTTTAAAATAGAGAATAACTGTGACAAAGCACAGTGAGTAGTTGCTGAACTTGGCCATGCTTAAACTCTGTTTACAACGTCTTCTGCAGCTTATGAATCAGTAAATACTGTGTAGACATAATTTTTTTTCCCTGTAGTGGCAGCATGATGTTTGTCTGGCTTAGAAGAAAAAAAAAACCCAGACAGGGATTTAGAGTAACCTCTTTCAAAAGGATGCCAGATAATCTGCTCATCTGCACACAACATAATGCAAATTCGTCCAATAAGGCTCGTATCATCCACATGCTGCACATGGACTAAATGTGTTTATCAGCTCTCATTTTTGCTCCTTTCAGCAGTGTTATGGTTTGAGCGTCTGTCTGTGATCAAAGCCGAATGGATGCCAGAGTACAAAGTTTAATAGGCATATTTATGAGAACTCAGCAAACCAGAAGTGGGGGAGAAATATGTGATCTGTATTGAAAACAGATGATGCTTCAGCTTGTGTTATTCGTTTATCAGCTTCTCTGTTGGCATTTCATGCCAGGTTTGATGTCAAAGGATGAAAAGAGATCACATATGGAAGCATTCTCAACCCCATTAGCCTTAGGCAACGGGAAATGTTAAGAGGCACCACTACTGCATTTTCTCCCCGAGCATTCTTTTGGTTGACATTTAGTTTTGCTGGTATGCAATTAAAAAAAAAAAGGAGAAGAAGTTATTTTCAGCATGCTGCTCCTGTGGGAAGGAGGGACAGAGATTGTCTACATAAATCATCCCCTATCTGAGACACGTTGTGTTGGAGCTGACCCAGAAAAGTGAAGTTTTTTTTTTTCTTCTCCTCCTGAGCTCACTCTGCAGAAAGCCCGGCCGCGGAGTCTCGCGGTGATTTACGGGATCCAAATCCATCTCCAGGAAAGAAAGCGGCTCGCGCTGCTCAGACCGACACAGCTGACGCGGCGCAGGGAACTGGAGGACTGGAAACAGAGGTGAGAACGTGTCTTTCCCCTCTCCATTGTTTAAAAAAAAAAAAAAACACCCTCCCCTATATTGAAATTGAGGTAATATTTAACCTGTCAGTGGTAAACCAGTCCTGCATGTCCCCCCCTTCAGCTTTAATCCTGAAGACTGCTGGGCATTCGGGCAGCATGATAAACGTACGCCGTAGAAACCAAACTCGTTTGGTACCCCGCTCGCAACTCCTTGATATTTCCATGCGAAACGTTGACCGTTTAAATGGACGGAACGCCAGGCGGTAATGGCAGCAGCCCCCCTCTCCCCGTGGCGCCGCTCTCACCGTCAAAGGACTACATTGTGTCCGGTCTGGCGTCCGCAGGCGGAGGCAGCGGGCTGGACGGTGTGTGCTGTCTGCCGTCAGAGGAGCTCGCGCGGCTCCCGCGGGGCGGGAAATGTCGACCGCCACGGAGTTTAGTTTCATAAAAAAACGGCCAAGACTAAGGTTAAAAATGTTTAACAACCGCTGTGTGTGTGTGAGAAAGGGGACTAAAACCAGTGTAAGTCAAAAGCGTGCCCCCCTTATAGTAAAAAACTAGTGGAGGTGAACGCATAAACTAGTCCAAAGCTTTCGTAGTATTTAAGAAAGAAAAAGAAAAAAAATAGAATTATCAAGAACTTAGACTTTCTAGTCAAATGCATTAATATGTGACCACTTCAAAAATGAGTTTTCTTTTTTAATCACCTGTATAACAAGTTGTGGACTCGTTTGATCTATGTCTTACACTATATAATAAATAATTAATTAAATAAGCCATCTGAATTGTACATTTTTTTTCCTGTAAAAATGTTATCTCTCTATATATATATATTTATATATAGATTGTTTTAAGTTACAAACTGTAGTAGCTAAAGAGAACAGACAGTTTGTTCATCTCAAAGCAGTAAACTGCTTTAGTAAGTACTCCTCTTTTCATGTGATCAGAGGCAGATTAACCAAATTCATCTGATCCCCGATGAATAATCGGATCCAGTGTGTGCAACAAGACATCTGTTAATCCGTGGATGTGTGCAGAGAGGTAAACTGCTGTGGTTTGCTGCCTCTTGAGGTGAACGCTTCCCTCCGAGGTCCTGGAAAACATGACTATGAAGACTGTGGCACGAGGGCTCCAAATTTAGATGAGTGTTAGAGCAGAAAATCAACAGTCTGTTGACTTTTGAACTAAACAGAAGGAAAAAGATGGAGCAGAACCTGAGAAACATGAGATGAGACTGATGAGTCACAGGTTCAACATTGTATTTACTTCAAATCATTTAAGACAGATTGTACGCGAGACACTGACACCTTAGTGTTTCTTAAATAAAGTACACATGATTAGACGGTTGAAGTATTTCATAGTAGCCTCCCTTTAAAGGTGGCAAACAGAGAGGCTTTAGTATCTAAGGTGTGGTCGTTATTAAAGCACTGGGCTGTTATTCACAACGTGGCTGGTGTGGTTAGAACACGTCGCCGGTTTGGTGCTCCGAACCCCCGGACGGGGAGCTGTTCCACCTCGCGATTTTACTGCTGGGAGTGGGAGTTAGGTCAACTCCAAGGGCAGGAGGAGAAATTCAGCACATGCCTTGTCATAAATTTAGCCCAATAAAGAGTAACGCTCACCCGCCCGGCCCTCTGTTAGTTTTAAAGCTCCCTATTGTATGAAAAGAGAAAAAAAGAAAGAAAAAATGCAATTAGGTAGTAGGGGTCTTGTATGTTGGGCTTTGGTCTGCATGCCTGTGTGTGTGTGTGTGTGTGTGTGTGTGTGTGTGTGTGTGTGTGTGT